CCCCCCGCTCAGCGACTTTCAAAAACATCTTCGTAGTCTGTTTACGATGAATTGAATTTCGCTTTCCAGAGCCAGTATGTTTTTAGCAATGGAAGGTCATTCTCTTTGGGTTTCTGTTTCAAATGAAACATTACTCATGGAAAAACGGGAATGTTTTAGAGTACTTCCTAGAGGGCCACCGGGTAAGAAAAGTTGTGTCTGTGTCTGCATGGGACACTCAGGCCTAGGAAGTCAGGATTTCCCCTGCCGCGTAGGACGAGGCCGAGCTGTCCAGAGTCAGTGTTGGTGTCTTTGCCCACTTAGTCTGTGATGTGTTCCACGTTCGTATCGTTGAGTTCCCTCTTTAGGTTTGGTTTGGCTGTTGAGACCAATATCGGATGAGTCTTCAGTATCAGAATCTATTTGTGGATTCTGGGATGGGCCAGGTGATGCCTGTGTGTTAGCTCCGGTGTTTGTGTTGGGCAAAAGACTACAGTTATCTACAGTCACCCAGCATATACAGGTAGAGTCTATAAAATATTTTCTAAGTCACTTAATAAGTCTACCCTTTGGGTTTGATTTATCTGTTATCTTTATGAAGGAAGCGTACTGTTTATGCTTGGGAGAATAATGACGCCTCCCAAAATGTCTGCATCCTAACCCCTTGAGCCTGTGACTATGTTAGGTTACATGGCAGAGGGAATTAAGGTTGCTAATCAGCTGACTTAAATGGGAAGATTATCCTGGGTGATCTGGGTGGACCCACTGTAACCACAAGGGTCATTAAAAGTGGAAGAGGGAGGCCGGAGAGTCAGTGTCAGAGTGATGCAACCACAAAGACTCAGCTGGTCACTGATGGCTTTGAGCTGCAGGAAGGGGCCATGAGCCAAGGGATGAATGCAGCCTCTAGAAGCTGGGGCGGGCGGGGATGTGTGTTCTCCGGAAAGGGACACGGCCTGCCCACATCTTGATTTTAGTCCAGCGAGGCGCTTGCCAGACTTCTGACCTCCAGAACTATAAGGAAATAAATTTGTGTTGTTTTAAGCCAGTAAGCTGGTGGCAGTTTGTTGTAGCACCAATAGAAAACGAATACACTGTTCTGTGTATTGAAGTTAAAGTAGGTGCAGATTTTTAAACTCTCAGAGACATTCTGAGGTAACACTCCATGCGTGGCAGTATCTTCTTCGAAACTGTTGCATAAGGCACTGTCCATCACAGCGTCACACGCTTGAGTGGATGCTCCCAGCGACGTCACCTCCTTTTACAGCCTGGCTGTCAGTCTTCTCTCATTGGTAGATCTCGGCATCCCAGCCCGGGTTCCTGTGCCATCCCCCACCTGGAAACAAGCATCTAGACGCATGTCAGAGCGGCTGTTGGTGAAGTTACCAGAGAACTGGGCGAAAGCGTTCTGGTCTGAACGCTTAGTGGGAAGTGAAACACGAAAGCAGATTCAAATCAGGTCGAGAGCAGAGGAATTGGGAGGTTCATGCTGTAGAGGATGGAACATCATGTGAGATGTAACTCAAGCCGGTTTGTGCATCGATTAAAGAAACAGTGGTCTCTTGACACACACCGTAACTCTTGACAAGTATTAGCTGAACGTCCACTCAAGTTCACTCGTCCAGCTGTAGTGATGGGTTCAAGAGCAACAGGACTGACAGTTTTTGAAAGAGGTCAGCTCTTCTTCAGTAGGGCTTCTGAACCCAGGCCAGAGATCAGGATTCTAAGAGCAAAGTGAGTGAACGATGTGGCACAGCCTGGCCATCAGTGCCTGCCTGGCACCAGGGAGTGTTGGCTCAGAGGCAGGCATGGACCACCGCTGGGTGAGCCTGGGGAACACTGCTGGGTGAGAGGCCATCACAAAAGGCCACATCTTATATGATCCCACTTAGATGAAATGTTCAGACAGCTAAATCTATAGAGACAGAGTGTAGACGGGTGGTTGCCTGGCGCTGGAGGGGGTTGGGGAGAAACGGGAAGTGACGGCTGATGGGTGTGGGGTTTCTTTGGGGGATGATGAGCGTGTTCTAAAACTGACTGTGGCTTTGGCCACGTTACTCTGAATGTGCCCCAACCATTAACGTGTATGCTTTATTTATTTATTTTTGGCTGCGTTGGGTCTTCGTTGCTGTGCACGGGCTTTCTCTAGTTGCGGCGAGCGGGGGCTACTCTTTGTTGCGGTGCGCGGGCTTCTCACTGCGGTGGCTTCTCTTGTTGCGGAGCATGGGCTCTAGGTGCATGGGCTTCAGTAGTCATGGCACGTGGGTTCAGTAGTTGTGGCTCGCGGGCTCCAGAGCGCAGGCTCAGTAGTTGTGGCACACGGGCTTGGTTGTTCAGTGGCATGTGGGATCTTCCCAGACCAGGGCTGGAATCCGTGTCCCCTGCATTGGCAGGCGGATTCTTAACCACTGTGTCAGCAGGGAAGTAAGTCCCCACGTGTGTGCTTTAAACAGATGAATTGAATGATATGTGAATTATAGCTCAGTAGAGCTGTTGAAAAAGAAATAAGCATGTGAGGTGACTGCATGACAGAGGCTTACCCACAGCCATGTGGGGATTTGATAAAAGCCACCTACTTCTGAGAGTGCCCTGGAGGTGTGGCAAGTACCTGCTTCGGGCCTTGGAGCCATCACGGTCAAAAAATGCCTCCGTCTTCTTCCTGAAGCTTTTGTTCTTGAATGTTGGTTTTAGGGACGGGTCTGTTGACCAGAGAGTCGGGGTCTTAGTGGACACTGTCTGTCTCCGTCCGGGACTCCCATTTTCCTTTTCCTCCCGGGTGGGTCCTTGTTCACAGGGATAGTGGCTAGTTTGGTGGACGTGTGACCGCGATGCACTTCTACCGCCCTCGGGAAGCATATGTTCCTGGGGACCTTGCCACGTCCTCAACATGCCTCTGTTAAGTCCCGTCTGTACCGAATGAACTCCTGCACTTACAGAGCTTATGATTCCTTAGGGTATGCATTTTCATAAACAGAGACAATGGTCCGACAGGGCCTGTAGGCCACCCATCCTTCAGTTGGGCACCAGTAGGATTTTGGTACCATTCTGAAGCCTTTTGCTGGATTTACACTCCCCCCGTCCCACCGGCTGGGGCTTGTCCCAGGGCTCATGGCACGTGGGCTGTTGGGGGAAGGGGTCTCGCCACAGGTGTGTAGGGTTCGCGGGGTAGGGGTGGAGGTCGGCTTGCTCGCTGATGGCAGGGCCAGCACCCAGGCTGCTGCCACAGAGCCATGGCCAGGGCAGCTGCTGACCCTTGGCCGTCCTGGGGGCCCCACGAGCCAGGAGGTGGCGGCTGAGCGCTGTCCTTGATTCTGTCTAGACACCTAGGGGAAGGGAAGAGTTTATTCTCGGGGCCCAGGCAGTCGCTCATTCACGAGAATTGTAGTGATTGCCTTCGTTCACGGAGCCTCCATCGAGGGCACTCTGCCAGGTACTGCATTAGAGGTTAAACGCACGAGGAGGGACAGGCCCATAGTTTAACGGAGAAAAGAGAAAATAACCCTGTGACCCTATGGAAAGTAAGTCTTTGGTAGGTAAGTACAATGAAGGAGTGGGGGGTCAGTGCCTGGCATCTGCACGAGCCAGAGCAGAGACCCTAGAGCACAGGACCGGGCCGATGGTCTGACCTAGACTTGGCGTCAGACGCCTGGGGTGGAGTCGGCGGTGGGTGATGGAAAGGCAGGTTAGAGCCCAGCCTGGAAGGGTTTTACATGCCAGGAGTGCCTGTGTGACATGGGTCTGCCCCCGAGTGTTACTGAGCACCCCTAAGGGCTGGATACTGCTAGGGGCTCAGCTCCATGACAGCCCTGAAAGGTGGGTGTCAATGTTCCCATTTTACAGCTGAAGATACTGAGCCAGACCTCGTGGTCTGCCGAGGGTCACAGAGCTGGTACATGGCTGCATCGGGATTTGAATCAGCCTGTGTTCCATCTCCTATACCAGGCTTGCATTCTCTCTGGAGAGAGAAACCCCCCAGAGGGAGAAGCATGGAGACTGAAGCCAGGGCATTAACTGTTAGGTTGAAGTGCAGGGAAGTGCCCTTTGCATGGGTCGAAGGTCACGTCCAGCAGCGTTGGGGTCTGAGGAGTGAGGACCCTCTGGGCCAGGAGTGGCTGGCAGAGGTCTCGTGGAGGAGGTGGGGACGGAGCAAGGCCTCCGTGTGGACTTGGGATGGATAGAGATGAGGGGAGGGGGCAGGCTGGGAGGTGGGGCTGGTGGGGACCCACGTGACGGGCTGGAGGTGACGGGGGGACGTCTGTTCAAGTGGGCACCCATGCAGATCTCGGGAGCCTGGAGGTGATGGCGGTCCGTGCTCCAGGTCCTAGGGAGACAGCTTTGGATTTGACCCTGGGCTTTCTCTGATCCTCCCGTACATGTCCTCTGCAGGAAACAGGCGAGCAGATCGCTATCAAGCAGTGCCGGCAGGAGCTTAGTCCCCGGAACCGCGAGCGCTGGTGCCTGGAGATCCAGATCATGAGGAGGTGAGGGCCTGGTGCACGAGCGCGCCCGGGTGAGGGACCGCAGGGCCGGGGGGCCTGGGATGTCAGAATGACTCTGGAGGGAGCTAGCAGGCTGAGCTTTGGGATGTGGAGCAACAGCCCCAGTTCTGTCTGGGCAAGAGTCATAAATTCCAGTTCCTCAATAAGGAGCCCAGCCACATTGTCCAGAGGGGCGACTTCTGGAGGAGTGGCAGTTACAGCCCACCACTTGGCCTTGCCAAGGGCTCTTGGGGGGTTTTCTTTGTTGTATTAAATTATTTAAAATAGCCATCACAGTGAATTTTCCTTTGTTGGCAAAAGTCGTTTTTTCTCCAGTGTTTTCATTTCCGAGCTGGTATGTGAGTCTCCCGTGCCCTGAGCCTGTTGCTGTCGTCTGTTCCTCCAGGGTGCCCTCCCAGCCAGGAAGGCATGTGGGGAAGCTCACAGACCGACAGGCCCCAAACAGGGACTCCCTGCTGGAGCTCAGGGAAAGGGGAGGCGTCCCCTTGTTTGCAGGTGCACGTGCGCACGCTCGTGCGCACACACACACACACACACACACACACACACACACACACCACACACACACCACACCACACACACACACACACACTACACC